AAAAAAAAAAAAAAAAATATATATATATATATATATATATATAGCATCTTAGATTTGGTATATATTTGAAACAAAAATAAGATTATGGCGTTCAGTTCTTTCCCCACCTAAATACCTTAAGCATTTCCCCATATCACTATATTTAGATCCCATTCTTAACCCTAGCATGTTAACTAAGAGTGTATCATAAATTGTTCACCAGTTCCTCTTGGACATTAGGAGCTTTTCCAATTTCTTTGTTGTTGTTGTTAAAATAGTACTGTGTTGAATATCTTTGTCTATATATCTTTATGCACTTTAGTGAAATTTCTTGTGATTAAATTTCTAGGTCAGTGGGTACACATACATGTTTTCTAGTGTACGAGGGTGCATTTTGCTTTTTGGGTAAAAGTAATGATTCATTAGACTAAATTTAGGTTATATAATTTTTTTTTTTTTTAATATATCTTTATTGATTTCAGAGAGAGGGAAGGAGAGAGAGAGGTAGAAACATCAATGATGAGAGAGTCGTTGATCGGCTGCCTCCTGCATGCCCCTGACTGGAGATCGAGCCCGCAACCCAGGCATGTACCCTGACCAGGAATTGAACCCCAATCGCCCGGATCCTAGGTCGACACTCAACTGCTGAGCCACGCCCAGCAGGCTAGGTTATATAATTTTTTAACTTGCATGAATTTATAACGTCTATGTGCTAATTTCTTTTTCTTTCTTTTTTTTTAAGGCTGTTAGCAAAAGATGGTGGATCGCTTGGCAAACAGTGAAGCAAACACTAGACGTATAAATATAGTAGAAAACTGTTTTGGAGCAGCTGGTCAGCCCTTAACTATACCCGGGCGGGTTCTCATTGGAGAAGGAGTATTGACTAAGTTGTGCAGAAAAAAGCCCAAAGCGAGGCAGTTTTTCCTGTTTAATGATATTCTTGTGTATGGCAATATTGTCATCCAGAAGAAAAAATATAACAAACAACATATTATTCCCCTGGAAAATGTCACCATTGATTCCATCAAAGATGAGGGAGACTTGAGGAATGGATGGCTTATCAAGACACCAACTAAATCATTTGCAGTTTATGCTGCCACTGCCACTGAGAAATCGGAATGGATGAATCACATAAATAAATGTGTTACTGATTTACTCTCCAAAAGTGGGAAGACACCCAGTAATGAACATGCTGCTGTCTGGGTTCCTGACTCTGAGGCTACTGTATGTATGCGTTGTCAGAAAGCAAAATTCACACCAGTTAATCGTCGTCACCATTGCCGTAAATGTGGTTTTGTTGTCTGTGGGCCCTGCTCTGAAAAGAGATTTCTTCTTCCCAGCCAGTCCTCTAAGCCTGTGCGGATTTGTGACTTCTGCTATGACCTGCTTTCTACTGGGGACATGGCCACATGCCAGCCTACTAGATCGGACTCGTACAGTCAGTCATTGAAGTCTCCTTTAAATGATGTATCTGATGATGATGACGATGATGATAGCAGTGACTAAGGACATATTTTGAAGTATTTAATTGGGTGTGACTATCTGAGAAGTCAGCTTTGGGGAGAATGTAAAATTCTGGGCTCTCTCTCAATTTTGCTCTAGCCATGAATTTGCCTGAGAAACTTCTAACCTATGTGCCTCAATATATCCTATAGAAAATAGGTCCTGTTGTCAACCCCACCACCGCCATCCCAAGTACCCACTCTCCTGTAGAGATAGCCTGTTGCACACATAGGAGATAAAGTTTTGGTTTCTTATTGTTTAATTTTAGCTTGTTTTCTTGGAAGGTTGGGAAAAGTGTTTCTTTAACAGATCATATACTGCATTGTTGTTTATTATATGTTCTGTTATATAGAAAAACTTAAGCAAAGAATGATGGGAAAAGGAGTATAACGTGGTTAGTTAATAATATAAGCTCTTTTTTCTAACCATTCTATCTAATAGTTAAGACACCAGTAACAAAAATACATGATTTGGAAATACTTTGGCTTTTTCATATACCAAGTGGTGCCTTATCATAATAGCACTGTTACATGAAATAAGCCCCTGCCCCTCTCACTTTTTAGTTTGTTTTAAAAATACACTGGTGCTCTTTGAGGTGATAAAATGCATGTTTATGAATGGGTATAATTAGAAAATACTTGTCATCTGACAGCCACAAATAACTAAATTTAGAGGTTCTTCATTCTCTATGATTATATTTTTATGTTTTATAGGTACCAAATTATAATTGTCAAATATAAATTTTAAATTAATAGGAAGTCATTCTTAGGAATTTGGTTTGAAATTTATCCAATATAGAATTGTCATATTGTATTAGGTTCTATTTTTAGTAAGACATTTGTAGGTATAAATTCATTTGATTTAACATTATTTCTAGAATGAAAAATCTTATAAATCCTTGTCATAGATTAAAATCTTGTGATAGAGCACAGATCTACTTAGGCTAAGATTTGGAAGAAATAATATGTAAGAATGGTCAAGACAGACCAGTTAGGTTTGACTAGACTTCTGTGGAAGTATTGTCTATTTCAGTGTGAAACTATCTTGAATTTACAAATATAGTGTTATATTTTATAAAGTTTTGTAAAGTCCCAAACAATATTTCTATTTTTGTAAAACAATTGTATGTTTAATCTGTTTCTGAAATCATTTTGCAATGTATGGAACTAGACAGCAGCTGATCTTTCTAAATTGTGAACTCGACCGGGTCAGCCGAGATTGCTTTTGAGTGGGGTCATTTCTCACTCTGCTTCGAGGCAGCCATTAGGTTGAGAGTATATTTGTCATATAAAACTTGATGCATTTTGCACTACTCTCTCCATTTGTATGCTGCAATTAACTACTCTTTCAAATATGAAAAATCAGCCTAAAGATTGTTTTAAACCCTAAATTTTTAAACCTTTCAATCTGAATATATTGCATATGTTGAGAGGTTTGGTTCAGTAACTTGTGTTGGAGGAGTCTTTGGCTTGGTTAAGGCGCTAACTTTACTGTTAATTGTGAAAGCCTCTGAGATATGTAGACCTCCCTGTAGGAAATGTGAAAGAAAGGCACAATAAGTTTGTTTTAGTATCAGATGGACTTTTGTTTCCAAGCAGTATATCGTATAATCAGCATATCTGAAAAGGACTATGAAACCTGAGAAGTACTAATGGAGACTTACTGTACATAGGAGCTGAGCAGCCAGGAACCAAGGGGGAATGTTCTGCGGTAGTTTGCATTTTCATTCTCTTGACTTTTTGTACAATAAAAAATCCTTTACAACTTAACCTTCTGTTCTGTGCATGTTGTGACTTGGAAGACTTTTCCCCTCTTACTAAGGTGAGGGAAATGCGCATTTTTTTGCCTCACTTAACAGCTGTGAGGCCTTCGTGTGCCAGGCATTGTTCTAGGGCCTCCAGTAGAGCAGAGAACAAAAATTCCCTCCTTTGCCTGGAGTTTACATGCAAATAGAACTCATGTGTTTTCTCCCAGGTTTTTCCCCCTGTAGTTTTTAAAGCTTTTGTAAATCTTAGTTGTATATAAACCTGAAATGATTTTGATGCCACTTTTTCATGCCGTTTCTCCTGAATGAAATTTACTTGGACTGTACTGGACCCCCAGTGCTTTATCCAAATTGGTAACCAATGGTGTAAAGGAAGCAAGATTCTGCCGGTGCCATGGAAAAGTGTTAAGTTGAGGACATCTTGAGTACAGGAATTTATGCATAAAATGGCCATAGTTAATTAACATAAAGGTAACTTTATGTTACCTTTATCATCTTTATGCTGAAATTCTAGAAATAGGTAGTATTAAGTTGTATACCTTATGATTCTTGAAGGGTTGTCGCACTTGAGTTGCAGTCCCCTCTCTTAGGGTAATTTTCTCCTCAACTACCAGACAGGGGACCTGGCCCTGAGCGGGTCTGCCTAGGCTGCCTCGGGCCGGCTGGTAGTGTGTGGGTTCTTGACTTCTTGCAGGAGAGATTTCACAGCACGAGTCCAGGTGACTATGAGGACATGTTTATTAAAGCTGGGGACAGTGAACCAAGGAAGGGCTTAGCAGAGAAGCAGCAGGAGAGCCTGGGCTGGGCTGCTTGGGCTCACTGGGAAGTCAGAGAAAAGGAGGCCTTGGAGACAGGCTCAGGGGATTAGCCTGGGATGACTTGCCACTGCCCATTGCTCCCCTGGTTGCAAGTCTCCTGGGTTCCCTTAGAGTTTAGGAGATGTGTGCCTCTGGGGGAAGGAGAGGGAGAAGGGAATGGCATGGGCATGCTCCCTGGAAAGAGAGCATGCTTCTGAGACCTTTGTGTTAAGGGTTTTAACTCTGCACCCATAGAAATTCCTTCCTTCTGTTCCCCTTTCTCAAAAGTACCCCTTCATCTTCTGCCTGACTCAGTGCTTCCTGAATTGGTTTGGACCTCAAATGCTTGTTGAGCATTTTAGCCTTTCGTTTTTAGGTGGGTCCATCGGCCGAAATCCAGCAGTCTTTACTTCTGTCACCTTCCAAGACAGGGCAGCCTCACAGACCTATTTCACCTGGGGATTCTGGGAGTGTTAGCATAGGCACTAGGTAGGTAGTAACAAGTGAGAAGGGAGAAAACTGGCAGAGCCTGATTAAGTTAGGAAACTACATTTCGCAGACTCCAGGGAATAGCCAGAATCACTCTGCCTTATGGATTAACGTCCGAGTGGGCAGGAAAGACCAGCTTTGCAATCTCCCCAGAGAACAGCCGGCCAGTTCCCCCGGCTTAATGTTGGGGGGGAGGGAGAAACGGTTAAGGGGGAAGTCCTTTTCCTGAGTGCATGCCCAAAAGTAAGAATGGAGACCTTAAAGGGGAGGAGGGCCCGGCTGGTGTTGCTCAGTGGTTGTGCGTTGACCCATGAACCAGGAGATCACAGTTCGATTCCCAGTCAGGGCACATGCCCCAGTTTCAGGCTCGATCCCCGAGGCAGCCAATCGATGATTCTCATCATTGATGTTTCTATCTCTCCCTCTCCTTCTCTCTGAAATCAATAAAAACATATTTAAAAAAGTAAAGGGGAGGAAACAAAGAGAAGAGACAAACCCAGGAAAATCTGGGGGGAAAAATCAGAATAAAGCTGCCTGCCCAGGAAAAGCCAGGAAAGAGACTGGATACTTTGAAAGAGAGCCTGCTCTCTCCCAAGCCCAAGGAAATACAGAAATATAGGGAAGCTTAACAGGGGCCCCAGTCTCTTTTTGGCAGCTGTGTGGGCCTGAGCTCAGCTGGGAGCAGAGGCTGAGCAGGACTCCTGGAGCCTCGGCTGGGTAATGGCACGGCAGCTCCGGGCCCTGGCCTTCCTTCTGGGCTTGGTGGGGATGAGTGCAGGCCCGGGGCCCGGGAGCCGGACTTCCCCAGCAACACAGAGCTGAACCACCTGGTCGTGGGTGAGGCATCGGGCGTGGTGTACCTGGGGGCAGACGGGCAAGGTCAACCAGCTTCTGCTGCCGGGGCCACTGGGGAAGTGCTGCGTGGAGTGCGGCAGCCTTTTCAAGGGCACCGAGTGATGCGAATATAAAATACCCTCCAGAGTCCAAGGTCTACCTGAAAGAGGCTGTTGATTCTCTGCAGGCACCATGCCTGAGACGTGACCAGCTGCCGCTTGCAGCCCAGCAAAATTCCTGTTTGGCGTTGAGAGAAGAGTGATGCGAGTTTGGGGTGGTGGCTGTGGCTGCAGGCTCCTGCACAAACGCCAAGCACCAGGTTCTGTCTGATGTTTGACCTCTGCTAGGCTCCTCTCCCCACTGTTGGAAACCATGCTCTCACCCCCAAATCCAGCCCGCCCCACCCGAGCCCTCTGCCCAGGTATCATCCTGGGCAGGTGGAGGTGAGAAGTGAGGGTGGGGTTGGGGGGACTCAGGTCCGCTCCAGTGTGTCCTCAGCAAGAATTCCTGGTTGTTCATTGACTCAACCCCTTGTTAAGCTCCTTTAACCAGCCTCTGGACTTCGTTCTGCGTCTGCTCTCTGGGCCTCGTTAAGGTTCTGCCCAGGATGTCAGGAATGCTGATCCTTCCTCAGCGTGGCCCCTGCGTTTCCCTCGGGGAGGGACAAGGCCCTCTTCAGCCTCCAATCCCTGTAGCTGCCCCTTTGGAATTACAGTCCCTGGTTCCTGTCCCTCAGTCTATCTAGTTTTGGGCTGGTTTCCCTTGGAGTCCTGGCAGGCTGCTTCTCGCGAAATTGTTGCCTTAAAGATCCACAACCTAGATTTGCAACCCTGCAAATCTAAGGGCCTGCTCTTCAAAATAGAGATGTGCAGTCGAGTCCTCGGAAGTTGATATGGAAATTAGGTTAGAAACATGCTGTTAAAAGCAAGTGGGAAACCCCGAGCCTGAGAGTACGATGTCCCACCCTCGGGCCCTCTCGGTGGTAGGCTGCCCCCCTTCCTGGGGGTGCTGGGGGGGTGCTGCCTGCCCCCCCAACCTCCCGGCTGGCTTCCTCGCCTCAGGAGGCAGCTGCAGGAAAGAACCGGAGTCTCCCCAAATTTGACAAGCTCAGCAGGAAATTGGCTAAAGTCCACTGAAAAATGTGAGCTGGCTAGATCCTGGCTCTCATTGTTGACCTGTCTCAAGGTGGACCGCTCTGTGCTGGCCATATAGTGCTCTGGGCTCACGGCTCCCGACTCATCTCACTGCTGAGCGCCTTACCCAGCCCTTCAGTTTTGCCTTTTAGAGACTGTTCGTTGACAACGCCTTCTTCCTGGCCACCTGCTCCTTGCAGAGCCCCCTCTGCCTTCTCACTTGTGCTAAGGACCACACTGCCTGGAGCCCTTGTGAGTGGAGGCTGTTTGTTCTCACACCCCCAATTTACCTGACCTGGACCCAGAGTTGACATTCTTGTAGCTGCTGCTGCTGCTTTTTTAAAAAATATATGTTTTTATTGATTTCAGAGAGAGGAAGGGAGAGGGAGAGAGAGACAGAAACATCAATGATGAGAGAGTCACCGATCAGCTGCCTCCTGCACACCCCTGCTGGGGATCCAGCCGGCAACCCAGGCTGGTGCCCTGACAGCAAATTGAACCCGTGACCTCCTGGATCCTAGGTTGACACTCAACCACAGAGCCACACCAGCCAGGCTCTTAGAGCTTCTTCTTGCTGTTTCTAGACAGTAGGTGTCCACCCTCTGAGCTCTGTGCCGTCCTCCTACACCATCTGCAATGTCTAGATTAGTTCCTCTGCTGACAGAGAACCTAAAATAGCAATTTCACACAAGATTTTAGTTAAGTTAAAGATGTCTCAGAATTAGACAGTCAAAAGCAAGTAAGTTGCTTTCACCAAGTCCTCAGGGACCTGGGCCGCTTCCCGCTCACTGCTCGGCCATTCTCAGGATGGGACCCTCCTGGTGATCCAAGACGCAGCTCAAGCTTCAGTCGTCACATGGCCTTGCAGGTCGCTGAGCTGTGAGAACAGCAGGGAGGAGTAGCTTACCTTGTCTCACAGTTTGAACTGAGAGGCCAACAATCTTGGGGTTTAATTACCAGATACTTCTCATAAATGGTGGAAGGCACAGCAAAGAAAAAGAGAGGCCCTTTTCCTGTCCTTACAATTCGGTTTGGACCCCCTAACCTTTCCCCCACCCAGGTCTCAGTTGTATTTCAGCTCCAAGCCCAGAAAAGCAGCAAAACCAGACAAGCGACCCAAAGGACCAGCTGCATCGGATAATGACCTCCTGCCCTGGTGCTGACCAATCGATCAGTGGAGACCACAACCCTGAAAGGACACACCTGGAAAGCTGCTGAATATTATAAAGAGATCTTTCCCTGGGACCTCCCCTAAGATCTCCACCCTTAAAACCCTTAAGCTGAGGACCCAGCGCTCCCAGGTGAGTTCCAGTTTGGGTTCCCACTACGCAGGATTTTGCGTGGGGCTTTGTTTTAGGCACAGCCCAAAGCAGAGAATCCCTGCCTCGCTGGCAGGCTTAGAGGTCAAGCGGACCCCAGGTGAACTCCTAGCTCTTGAGGTTTGTGACTTTGGGCAAGCAGTCTACCCTCCGTAAGCTAGTCCTTCACCTTTGCAAAGCAAGCANAGGTTTGTGACTTTGGGCAAGCAGTCTACCCTCCGTAAGCTAGTCCTTCACCTTTGCGAAGGAAGCACAGTACCCGCCTCTCAGGGCTGTGACCAGAATCAGGTAAGAAAAGGTGTGTTTTCGTACTTTGCCTTCAGACCTGGCCTGGGCGGTTACAGGCACCACCGGGAGATTCTATGCTGCTCAAACTCTCACAACCTTGGGGGGCTGTAAAATGCAGATTCTGATCCTGCCGGCCTGGGGTGCGAGCTGTGAGCCTTCCAGCAGGCTCCCCGCTGGTGCCCGCTGCCCTGCAGGGACCACACCGGAGCAGCAGGCTGTAGGCACCCCCTCTGCCCTGCTCCATGGCACAGGCTCCTCACTGTTGCCCTGCTCTCCTAGCTGGTCTGGCCGCCGTCCCCAACTCCCTGCACGCTGCTCGCGGTCGCCGGAGGGATCTTCTGAAGTGGGGGACGATTGCTGGTGTACAGCCTAGAGCCACAGCAGGAGCCGCTGCTTTTGCTGGGAGAGGGCGGGAGGGCGGCGCTGTCCAGGAGTGGATGTGGATGGCCTTTTATCTAGCAAAATACTCGGAGGAGGCTTGGCTTGTGGGATGTGAGCTACCCAGGGCTGTGGGTTTTTTTATTTTTTAAATCCTCGCCCAAGGTTGTTTTTTATAGTTGTTTTGTTTTTTGTTAATTTTCACCCGAGGATATTTTTTCCGTTGATTTTTTGAAGGGGTGCAGGGGAGGGGGAGAGAGAGAAAAACCGATGTGAGAGAGACATTGACTGGTTGCCTCTCGCATGCGCCCTGACTGGGCCAAGGATAGAACCTGTAACCCAGGAATGTGCCCTTGCCCTTTGGGGCATGGGCTGAGGAGGATATGTTTTTATTGGCTTTAGAGAGAGGGAGGGAGAGGGGAGAGAGGAAAACATTGATCAGTTGCCTCCTGTACACACCCCCAACCAGGAATTGAACCTGCAACCTGGGTATGTGCCCTGACCAGGGATCGAACCCACGACCTCTTGGTGTGCAGGATGATGCTCCAACCAACCGAGCCACCCTGGCCAGGGCTAGGGTCGGGCTTGATTTTAAAGGGACCTCAAGTGGTGTGAGGCCTAGCAAGAAAGATGGCTGTTTCAGACCTGACCTCCCGCTGCGTGGGGGCCGGGTCTGTTAGGCCCCCTGCTGGGCTCAGTCTCTGCTGGGAAAGGGCTTCGCAGGCGCCCGGAAGCCGGGCGATGCGCAGGGAGTGAGAGGCAGCTGCTCTGGGGCCGAGGCCAGGTGAAAGGCCCTCGGCCCGCTCTCTGCCGCCCTGCTCAGCTCCTGGGGGGCGGGGGGGAAGGGGTGTTCAGCTCCTTGGCCTTGTGGAAATGATGGTCGCACCCACGTTCAGACAGATTAAGCCCCACTTTAAAGAGCTCGAAGCCATCTCTGTAATGTGCCTGGAGATATTCTGGAGAAACGAGGAAAGTGGGCAGCTGGTTGCTGAGGAATAGGGTTGATGTCCTGGCTGAGTGGCCCCGGGCATTGCCAGGATCTGGATCCTGGACGGCCTTCCTGGGTGGGAGGGCTTCCCACCGCTTTCTGGTAGCCGTGGCTCTGGCCAGCAAGGAGCTCTGCGCTGGTTTCCCATAGTTCTAATGTCCAGAAATATAAAACTGAGATTCAATGAATTGTGCAAGGCTGAACGAAGAGGGGTGCGCTTGGAGAGTCTGGGACTGTAGCTGGAGATTCCGCCCCCAGAGGGTCCAGGGGTGATTTCTAAGTCAGGTGCTAAGAGTAGACCTGGAGGAGTGTAATTTCCTAGCTGACAAATGAGAAAATGCAGATGGCAAGTCCTGCACATAAACCACATTCAGGAGAACACTGGAGCCCCTGTGAGGCATTTTGCACTTTTTGTCTTTTTGCATAAAAGAGATGATTGGCATGAGCCTCGCTGCTCTGTTAGTGAAACACAGATGTGCACTTGCAGCTGTAGTCACACTTGGCTGGCAGGAGGAAATTGTATATTGTCCATTAATGAGCAACTAATTAAAGAGGAAGCTGACTGTCCACGGGTGGTGGCTGTTTCCACTCTGGCAGCCAGGGTGATAAGGAAATGTCACAACACGGGGGGGGACCTGGAGTGGATCTCTAGCAAATTATTTTACACCTACAGCAGCTCTGTGGAATTGCAAAAACCAACCCCATTTTCATAATATTCTTCTTTCATTTATTAGTCTACTTCCAGATAGTAATGGAGACAACTTATAATTAAAAACACATATGTAGCCCAGGTGGCATGGCTCAGTGGTTGAGTGTCAAACCCATGAACCAGGAGGTCACGGTTCAGTTCCCGGTCAGGGCACATGACCGGGTTTTGGGCTCCATCCCCAGTAGGGGGCGTGCAGGAGGCAGCTGATCAATGACTCTCTCTCATCATTGATGTTTATGTCTCTCCCTCTCCCTTCCTCTCTCTGAAATATTAAAAAAACAACACACACACACACCCACCCACCCCCAACTACCATTCTGTTACATCTCTCAATTTTATGGGTCATGAATTCAGACAGGGCTTGCCTGGAACAATCCTCCCTCAGTTGGACAGCTGATGGGCTGACCTGGAGGGTCCAAGACGGCCTCGCTGAGTTGGAAGGGCTGGGCTCTAAAGGCACCGTCACCTAGAGTGCCTCCGTGTGGCCTCTTCTGCCTGTGGCTCAAACTCAGATGAGATGGGATTGACTATTTACATGCCCTGGTGGCTCAAAGTACGGTCCATCGACCAGCTGGATAGGCATCACCTGGAAGCTTCTTAGAAATGCATAATCTGGCCAGCAATCCCATTTTTAATAATACTGGCTGTAGGAATATATACACAAAGATATTCCCTAGGCATTGTTTATAACAGAAAAATATGAAACAGAAATTTCCATAAAAATAATAGTTAAATCATGGAACATCTGGCCTGGAAAGATGTCTATGATATACAATTTAGTAAAAAAAAAAAAAAGCAAATGGTAGGATAATATATGTACCCAGGACTCCACTTTTGTTTTAAAAAAGCAGTAAATATCTCTAACATCCATCCATCCACCCTCCCACCCTTCCATCCAGTCCAGAAGGATGGGCATCAAATGAACACTGGGATAGTGAAGGGATTTTTGCGGCTTTGTATGTTGTATTTCAATACACAGAATGTGACAATATAAAATCATTGATTTTCTTGTTTTTCTGTACATTTAAATAAAAGAAAAACACTGTAAAAATAACACCAAATCACTGTATTCTGGGAGTATTCGTGAACAGTCACGCACAAAGGTCATGAAGATACGGTTTTCCGGTCTCTGAGAGGCTGTCAGCAGACTCACCCTTGCGATTTCCTCCGTCACCTCTGCCCAGCCTGTCGCCTGCCCTCATTTCCCATCTTCGTGGTGGGTGAGGAACGATTTCATTGCTCCTTTCACTTTAGAGCCGTGAAGGGCTGAAGGAGTCGATTTTTGAAGTGAATCAGTTAAAATGTTTTTGTTTCCTTCCAGAAGCTCGAGGTGACAAGTGCTTCTGCGTAAACTTCCTGGGTCGGCTGATTCCAGGCTGGGCCTGTCCTTGAGGCCGGTGGCTCAGACTTGGGAAGGCTTCTGTTTCCAGCCAGGTGAAAACACCGATTCCCCCGCCGCAGGATACAGTTAGCAGCAGGCAGATCTGGATGAGAAACAGAACAGAGGATGTTTTAGAAAAGTGTTCCGGGTGCTTCTCCAAGAGCCCAGAGCCCAGGAAGGAAATGAGATGGGGTCCCCAGTACACGCCTGCCCTCTAGGGGCCGGGTTCTCAATTTGTTAGTCTCACCAAACCTGTGGGGCTCAGAATGCTGGGTCTTTTTAGGCCCTCAAGTCCCTGGAGCCAAGTCTGCCCCTTTTTCCTTCACTGCACTAGCTTAGCCCTGCAGGGGCTCCTCCCGGATGCCCTTCCTTCGGGGTCCCCCAGGCCTCAGTGATGGCCGACGCTGGGCTCAGAATGTGAGTTGTGACGACTCAACTGCTCACCAGAATCTGCAGTAAGAATTTTAGGCTATAAAAGGGGAAGCTTAGGCTTTCCTCTCTCCCCTCTGGGAGCCGTTACGTTTCTGGCACATGTATCAACACACAGGCCGCGGTTCCGTTGGGTCACGTTATAATCAGTGCTGAGCAAATGGGGGATGTCCAGTGTCCATTGCACTAGGTTGTGACTTAGCCAAATGTAGCAGCCCTGCCTGTGGACGTCTGTATTTTGATGTTTGGTTTTGACCAGAATCAAAGACACTTAAAAGACCGATAGTTACAGCTCCTTAGGAAACAGTGAATTCTCCTGTATGGTGACCAGCGCCTTCGGGCCCTGTTGCCACAAACCAGCACAGGGCAGGCAGGCACTTTAAGTGAAACGCACCTGTGCTTCGAAGCTCCCTTTAAATGGACTGTAAGATGAAGCCTGGAGGTACTAAGAGATGTTTAAATCCAGCTAGAAAGCCCAGTCCCCGGGGCTCAGGGGTTGAGCTTCGACCCATGAACCTGGAGGTCACGGTTCGGTTCCCGGGCAGGGCACAGCCCGGGTTGCGGGCTCCATCCCCAGGAGGGGCGTGCAGGAGGCGGCCGATCAATGATTCTGTCTCACCATTGATGTTCCTCTCCCTCTCCCTTCCTCTCTCTGAAATCAATTAAAAAAATAGAAGAAGAAAGCTGAAGGGGAAGCCTATTTGAATCATGGCAGAAAGTTGTCCTTAAGGTGTGCTTTTTAATAGACAGAAACCTTAGCAAAGAAGTCACACTCACAGCACTTACCACGCCCAGGCACCCGCTGAACGCTCTGCAGAAGTCACTTTAGGGGCCTCCTCCCATGAGCCGCGAGGTAAGCACTGTCATCTCCGCTCCACAGGTCGGGAGAAGAGGCTGGGGGAGATGCGACACGTAGAGCACCATGTCCCCGGTAAGCCGTCCGGCCAGCCTTTCAGCCCAGGCAGCCGGACCCCTAACTCGCCCGCCACGGCGGCCTCCGGGCAGGGCTGCTGCTGGACGGGCAGGGCCAGGGCCGGAGCCGGTGCTGAGCTGCTCGGGCACGGCCCGTCCCGTGCCCCTCAGGTGGGCTGCACGGAGCCTCTGCGCCCGGGGCTCATCACCGGACTCGGGGAGCAAATTAAACACCCGAAGGTCTCCCAGAGAAGCTGGGTGGGAAGGAGCCAGTGGTCTTCAGGCCAGTCAGCCGGGGGGGCCTGTGGCGGCATTTTCCAGGATGTGCCCCAACCCACGGGGAAAATCCTGTTCAATCCCCACCCTTCAAGAAAAATGTAAAAAGAAAGCCTTATATTGAGAGTGAATCTTTCATAATTTTCCTTACACACCTTCTAGGCATGAGTTTTTAAGAATCTTGACTGTAAGAACCTGTGTTACATACTTGCTGGGGTCCAGCTTCCTGCTTGTATTAGTAAGTGCTGCTCTTTGCGGCGGCCGACGGTGCCACCGGCTCATTTTCTGAAGGCCACACGCTCTGAAGCGCTTCTCCCGCCAGGGAGCCATCCGCTGCCCCCAGATGCGGAGGGTGGTGCTCTCCCCGTGAGGTGACGGGTCACGACGAGACTCGCGTCGGACCTTGGCACTGATACCACGCTGTTTCCAGGGGCTGAGGGAAACGCTCACGACAATACAATCTCAGCCCAAAGTGAAATAATTATTTTAGAATAGTTACATCATGATGAGATTCATGAAAGTTTAATCCTAAAAGGGACGTTAAAAATAACTCAGTATTAAACCTCACATTTTTATATGGTAGCGGGAGCTCTTAGCAAGGTTTTGGTTTTTGTTTTTTAAAGGTGAGGATACTAAAGAGCAATGGGACATGCTCAAGTCATGGAGCTACTGGTGGATCTCAACCCCGGCTTTGCACTGGAATACCTGGAAGAGTTGTTGTTGTTGCTGAGAGTATTACAAATGCCCCCATTTCCCCCGGTGTGCTCCACTCCACCAGGCTCCCACCCCACCCCAGGCCTGCAGGGCGCTGTGGCCTGTCCATGGGCTGTGCACATACGCGTGCAAGTTGATCTCTTCGGTTAATCTCTTCCCACCCACCCCCTCCTCCGCTCTGAGTTCTGTCAGTTTGTTCCCTGTGTCCAAGTCTCTGGACCTGTTTTGTTTATCAGTTTAGTCTGTTCATTAGACTCCACATATAAGTGAGGTCATGTGGTATTTGCCTTTCTCTGACTGGCTTATTTCGCTCAGCATAATACTCTCCAGCCCGGCCGGCGTGGCTCAGTGGCGAAGCATCGCCCTAGGATCCAGGCGATCGCGGNCTCAGCATAATACTCTCCAGCCCGGCCGGCGTGGCTCAGTGGCGAAGCATGGCCCTAGGATCCAGGCGATCGCGGTTGATTCCCGGGCAGGGCACAGGCCCGGGTTGCGGGCTCGATCCCCAGTCTGGGGCGTGCAGGAGGCAGCAGATGTATGACTCTCTCATCGTTGATTCTCTCCCTCTCCCTTCCTCTCTCTGAAATCAATATATATTTTAAAAAAACCGAAACTCTGCAGGTCCCTCCATTTTGTCGCAAAGGGTACGAGATCCTTCTTCACAGCCGCATAGTACTCCACGCTGTAACGTCCCCCAGCTTTTGAACCCACTCCTCTGCCGCTGGGCCCTGGGGCTGTTCCGGATCTTGGCTCTGTAACTGCGCGGCTGTGAACACGGGGCGCAGATGCCCACTGGCGTTTCTGGTCTCTCAGGACATACCCCCGGAAGCGGGACTGCTGGGTCAGTGGCAGCTCCTTTTTTAATTTTCTGAGGAAACTTCAGTTTCCCACGGTGGCCGCGCCAGCCTGCACTCCCGCCAGCAGGCACGAGGTGCCCTTTTTCCTGCACCCTCGCCAGCACTCCTTGTTGTTGACTTATTGACGGTGCCATTCTGGCAGGTGTGAGGTGAAGCCTCACTGTGGTTTTAATTTGCATCTCTCTGCCCTGACCGGTTTGGCTCAGTGGTTGGCCCATGGCCCAAAGGGTCCTGGGATCGATTCCCGGTCAAGGGTACCCACCTTGGTTGCAGGCTTGATCCCTGGTGCTGATCAGGGGACGTGTCTCTGCCACATCGATGTTTCTCTCTCTCTACCCCCCTCCACTCTCTCTAAAAAATCAATGGAAAAATATCCTCAGGTGAGGATTGAAAGAAATAAAAATAATTTGCATCTCTGATTGGTGACGCTGAGCATTTTTTCATGTCTCTTGGCACCTGTGTGTCCTCTTTGAAGTGTCTGTTCGTGTCTTTAGCTCATTTTTAAACTGGGTTGTCTGTCTTCCTGGTGTTGAGTTGTATAAGCTCTTTACATATTGCGGAAATTAACCCCTTATCAGATGCATCCTTGGCAAATACGTTCTCCCGGACAGCGGGCTCCCTTTTCACTTTGAGGATGGTTTCTTTTGCTGTGCAGAAGCTTTTTATTTTGACGTAGTCCCATTAGCTTANTCCCTTTTCACTTTGAGGATGGTTTCTTTTGCTGTGCAGAAGCTTTTTATTTTGACATAGTCCCATTAGCTTATTTTTTTTTCTTTGTTTCTCTTGCTTTAGGAGATGTATCGGTGAAAATAGTGCTATGTGAGATGCCTGAGATTTTACTGCCAGTTTTCTTCTAGGATTTTTATGGTTTCATGACTTACATTTAAGTATTTTATTTGAGTTTATTCTAATGTATGGTGTAAGTTGGTGAAAAAGGAAATTGTCTTCACGGTATGAGAACAGGTTTGACCATGCGGCCCCCTGAAAGGCTCCTGGGGACTCTTGAGAGTGGACGACACTCTGAGAACCACCGGTGCTCAAGATACAGGCTTTGGAAAGTGAGTGGAGCTTTGGTAGGATGAGATCCGAGGAAGAGCAGGAACAGCAGGAACAGCAAAGCGAGAAGCTGCCGCGGGGCCCCGGGAGGACACGGGCCGGGCTGAAGGGGGGACGCGGGGCTGACATAGCTGAGAAGGATCTGGAAGGAACGTGCCTTCATGCTGGGCAGCAAGGCTTAAAGCAGGCGGGGGGGGAGGGGCGCTTGTTTTGTTTCGTGTTTGAAAGTTGTCGTTCCAACTTACATAAAGATAAGCTGGCCATATTTACACTGACTAGTTATAAAACAAAAACAACAGCACAGCTGCTTTATTATAAGGAGTGTTCAGGGAGTGAAAACTAAACGTGGCCCGACGCTTTGCTGTAGGAACAGGCCGCTCTCCAGCTTGGGCAGCATCGCCTCCGGAAGGGAGGCGTGCACACGAGCAGGCAGTCGGGCCGAGCGCCATCTAGTCACACTTCCTATTGTATAACTTCATACTTCAGCTTACAAAAGAGATGTCACCATTCATGTCCAGGTCACCATTTTATTTGGGCAAGTGAAACCCAGAAAGTTAAGTAACTTCCCAAGGGATGTGACTTTCAGCTCTGATTTTGCAACACCTCATGTTGCCGCCCATTGCCAAGGCTTCGGGGAGTCTGGAAGTGAACTGACCAACCGCATGTGCAGCGCTCTAGCCCATGCGGTCTGAAAGGGCGCAGAGCGGTGTCCCATACACAAATGCTCGTGAGATGTCAACTCTAAAGAGCCTGTATCTTTTGAATTTTTTCTTCCCTTCAAGAACTATTTTTTTTGTAATCCTCAACTGAT